TTTGGTCAAATTTCTTATGTCATTGTTTGAGTGCTTGTTTTAGTCCATAAAGTGACTTAACAAGTTCGTACAGTTTCTTTTCTTTACATGGAACCACAAAACCCTCGGGTTGTTCCATGTAAATTTATTCCTCCAATTCTCCATCTAAGAAAATTTTCACATTCATTTGATGAATTTGGAAGTCATATACCGCAACTATTAATATTAACATCCGAATGAATGTAATTCTAGTTACTGACAATCATGTGTCGACAAGATCAAGACCTTGTTTTTGTCTAAAGCCTTTGACAAAAAGTCTTTCTTTATATTTGTCAACAGTTCCATCGATTTTCATTTTCCTTTTGAGGATTCACTTTGAACCTAAAGGTTTATTTCCTGGAGAAAGATCAACCAACTTCAAATAGGATTGCTCAAGATTGAACCAATCTCACTATTGCCACCATCTTTCCAAAGGATGAGTCCACATAAGACACAGGAAATGTTACAAAATCATATTCGAAGGTAGTAGATGTCCTTTGAAATTTACTACACGTCTGAATCTTTTTATTAACCACATTCTCCTTTTGTTCTTTCCAAGGTCTTTTAGACCTTTCACTAGACTACTCAAGTCTAATTTTACAGTCCACTACAGTTCTTAGGTCCTATTTTAATTATTTTAGGAATAGGAACTTGGACTTTGGCTAGACACTCCCACATTTTGAAATATTTCAAGTTGGATTTCCTTTCTTTCCATTTCTCATATGGAATAGAATATGTCCTGAACAAACCAAATTGCTTTCTTTCTGAAAAGACAAAACTTTTTGTTGTTTCCTTTTGCAGTAAAGATAGTTCCTCCACATAAGTCTTGTGGTAAACCTGAACTTATAAGTAACCTAAAAGCACATTGAGTGCAGTCTCGTGGGTGCGTAAAATGTGTAAACAGGGCATGTTCGTCACTACCTTCATATTAATTTTCAATTTCAATTGACTATTCCAATGGCCGTATATGTGTGGCACGTGATATGTCTATTTCATATCATCAGAAGCATTGAAAAACTCTTAAATTCGGCGTGAATTATCAATTTCATCATCAAATTATTGTATTGAATGTCTTAAAAACATCTTTTTACTTAACGAACTGAACTTAGATACTAGTAAAATGACAAATAAAAATAAGAATTTATTTTTGAAACATTAAATAACTAAAAATGAATGGAAGAAAGTATTTAATAAGTATCACTACAAAGAGTCAAAGATTAAAAATTTCAATACGTAAGCTTGTAAATTAATACATTCCCTTTTAGCTAGTAAGCAATTTTTTTTTCTTTTCTTTTATAGTGGATCGGAGTTGGGATTTTTGAGAATTGTGTACCAGAATAATTCAAATATGTAATTCAAATACCCATGTTTGATGTGTAAACGTAATTGCCACACGAAACTAGACTATCCCTGATTGAGAGATGTCATCTTGTTTGGCCTAATTCATGTGTTTTGGTTTTGGTCAATAATTATATATTAATTTCTACCAAACTCAAATTTAGGCCAGGGCCGTGACAAGTTTGATCATTAGATTAAGTGTGCAATAATCAAGGAATGAATGATAATTTTGTGATAAACTCAAGGAAACAAACATGTGTTGAATTGAAGAGTTGGAGTTCGACTACAACACAAAAGAATCAAAGAGTTTGATTTAAAGAATTAAGGAATTACACTTCAAGTAGAACTCTAGGTTAAAAGAGTTTGAATAGATGATGAGTTTATACATGTATTGAACTGAAGAGCTGGAGTTCGACTACAACACAAAAAAATCAATAAGTTTGTTTTGAAGGAGTTTAAAGTGGCAAAGAGTTTGAGTTGAAGGAGTCTTACTTAAATATAACTCTATGCCAAGAGATTTTGAGTCACTGTGGAGTTTGAAGTGAATAACAACTCTAAATAGAAGACAAATCGTTCAAAATATTTGTGCACTTAGCAAAAAGGGCAATTAAAAAATTGATTTCGCAAGTGCTACCAATAGATTTAAGTATTGAAAAAACTTCATGATCGAAAAATCTGATCCTATTACAGAGTTAATGTATTAGAAGTTTTTCTTTGCGATTGAGTCTTGATGTAATCTTAGTTCAATGGGTTAAAAACTAAACTAGGAGTGTTGTCTTCAAGTTGAGATAACTCTAAGACTTGGGAACACATATCTTGAGGGGTCTGTGTTGAAGTTTAGGAATCAGAGTTAGTTCGTAGGATTGCAAAAGCTGTAATCTGAATTCATAACTTGAAGTTTAGAAAGTATAGTTTGTAATCTTAAACTGTTGAGGCTCAGAAATTTAGTGAGGTTAAAGTTAAATCATGGAGAGTACAAATCGTGTTTTCTTACACCTTTTGAGCTGAGCATTTTCCATGTAAAAATATTGTGTTCTTTATTTATTGTTCTTACTGCTTTGTTGGAACACGTTGGGTAACCTGTTTTACACTTGGCCAAAAGTTAAGTTAATTAAGTAAATAAATTACCTACATAGAATAACAAAATCCCTACTGAAAGTAGAGAAAATTAGTTTCAACATTATATTCGACATTAAATTTACCCTTTCGATACCCTCCTACAAGTATAGTTTTTAAAATAAGTAAGAAATTCAATTTTTTTTAAAAATATATATTTTCTTCCATGCTACACACACCATGAGAATAACTTTGATCTAAAACCGTAGCGCAATTGTTAAGAGTAGGGGAGGTCCCATGGATATAATATAATAAACCCAATTTGAAGTCTTTACACAAATAACGAAGAACTAAGTAAAATCTATTACTCCCTCTGTTTCAAAAAAAAAAAAATTTCCTTTCCTTTTTAGTCTGTTTAAAAAAGAATGACCTTTTCCTTTTTCTGGTAACATTTTAATTTCAGTTTTTCACATGGCATGTTTAAGGCCACAAGATTAAAGGGCAATTTCGTACATTTGACATAACTTTAATTTAGGACCATAAGATTCAAAAGTCTTCTTTATTTACCTAAACTCCATGCCAAGTCAAACTAGGTCATTCTTTGTGAAACGGAGAAAGTAACACCCTTTCGTATGTATCAATATAACGTTACACATTTTAAATTGTTTAACATTAGAGATAACTTAGAATCGATAATTCATTATCTAATAAATCACAACACTATAGATGTCTCTGGAAACTCTTATACATTATCAAAATATTTGCTTCATTTTCTTGAAATAGAGTTATATGTTATTTTCTAACCGCAACGGCAATACTCTCTTTGTTTCATATTATTTGATTTTTATTGACCTGATGCACTTTTTAAGAAATCTTTTATTAGAAAAGTGTATTTTATTAAATAAATTTTATTAATGATGCTTTGAAACTATAAATTTGACTATTGCAACTTTATGTAGTTATTTATTGATTTACTGAATAAACAAGTAAAAAATAAAAATCTTTATTTTTTAACCTAGGTGTTAAGCAAAATGAAACGGAGGGAGTATATTTATGTAATTATGTACCACAAAAAAAAAAGCATTGAATTTAATAACCCAACTGCCAACTAATTCTCCCACTCTATAAAAACCCAAAAGGTGCCCAACACTGGCAACATACATTTTTTTCTCTAATATTCTCTAAATATATACATCTCTTTTAAGAAATCAAAATAAAAAAAAAATGGCTGGGAAAATTGCATGTTTTGTGGTTTTGTGCATGGTGATGGTTGCACCCTATGCATCGGAGGCGTTTAGCTGCGGTCAAGTTCAGTCCGGGGTGGTTAAGTGTCTCCCTTATTTGCAAAATCGCGGCCCTGTGGGACAGTGTTGTGATGTTGTTAAAGGTCTCCTGAATTCTGCTAAGACAACACAGGATCGTAGAACTACATGCTCTTGCCTTAAATCAGCTGCTTCTATTATAAAGGGCATTGATATGAGCAAAGCTGCTGGTCTCCCTGCTCTTTGTGGTGTCAAAAGTCCCTTCAAGATTAGCCTCTCCACTGACTGCACTAAGTACGTTCATTTTAATTTATTACTAACAAACTAAATGACTGTTCAGTTCGATTGAACATGTAGTTTAACAAAGACTTTTGAAACATTTTGTCTAGAGGTTAGTATAAAGGGCATAAATGCTCTAGTTTTTGGAAGGCAGGGGCACCAATGTCCTAAAAATATGACGGAGGGTATCTGCATACCATTTACGATAGTTCGGAATATATTTATCCTTTTTTCCCTTTTAATTTTATTAAGGATAAAAATTAAAGTTTAAAATGAACTGTTTTAGAGTAAAGAAGTATGATATTAAGTACTTTAACAAAAAAACTATATTTTTGAAACTTGTAGTCTCGAATAAGCCTTAAACACTTACCTAACTATAAATTATCTTGATAAAGTTTTAACGTTAATTAATTTTCATGTGGTATGTTTAAGACCACAAGATTAAAATGCATTTTGATATATTTGTTATAACTTTAATTTAAGATCACAAAATTAAAAAGTTATTTTCTTAAACTTTGTGCCAAGGTCGAACTAGACTATTCTTTTTTAAATGTAGGGAGTATTATTTTGAAATAAACTAATTAAAAATAAATATGTCACATAAATAATTAAATCGAGGCTAAAGAAGTATGTCTTACATGTTTAGAATTGGTGTTATCTCGCATTGTTAAAATTAGATAATGGAGTAACACCAACAATAGTAAATTTGGAACTCCAGAGAAGATTATTGTAAATATTACTAGTAAGTTTGTTGGTTAATGTTGATTTAATCTAATGTGCCAATGCAGGGTCCAGTGAGAGATGAAAAATCGATTTATCGACGCATAAAATTGGTGTTAGACGTGCTATCATTGTTGCGAAGAATAAGATGCATATGGATCGAGTTTGATCCTGCTTTATGTCTTGTTGTCTTCTTTTTTTCGGTCATAGTGGCGTTGTAATAAAACTTTGGTGATTGGTTGTTCTACCATTTAATCTTGGCTAAATGAAACTTCGAGCCAACTAAAAATGTTTGTGTATGACTTTACCCTTAATTCAATGTCTCTTTCATGATTTCATTTTCTCTATTCTCTTACATATATAATATCCAACTGGTGGTGCCTCATTTGTTCCTTTGGAGACTTGATCTTATTTGTAATTAAACATGTAAGGATTAAATTTTAATTCAATTCTATCGCACCGCATGAAAAACTTTCTATTATATGTATGGTCGACAACATACTCATTAATCAGATTCTACTAATTAATTAAGACACTGCTCCTTGATTAACAAAACTCTAAAGCCTAAGCTTTTAAAACAAAGTGAAGGAGCATCTATAAAAAATTCGAGTACAAAAGTTCAAGACATAGCTCGACTATACTAAATAATAATTTACTGGACAGTTGAAAACAACATAATCTAATTTCTTCGGGAAAAAACACAAATTACCACACAACTCTCAGTTCACAATAAACTTAATTTTTTTAGTTCAAAAACAACAATGGTTACAAATGAATAAAAATCACAATTACAATTGAAAATAATCAAATTATTGAAACATATACACTTGATTTCATTAGTTCACCTTCCTGCAATCAACATGAATCTAGCCTTCATTTCCTGTCAATGGCTTGATATTACCCATCTTAATCATAGACTCAGCAAAATCTTTCGAAAAAGTCCTTAGGTTTGTACTATAGGTTTTAACAAGCTCATCAGTGTCTCCTCCACTAAAGAGTGCTTGATCAGAATGCAAAAGCCATTTCTTGGATACCAAGTTACTGAAATATTTAGAGTAAAAAAGGTGTAGGATCAAGGGAAGCAAGATTGGAATCACCACCACTATGCGGACTGACTTGCAAAGGTTGAGTCAATGTTGTTAGTCTCATTGTAGATGCGATTCCTAAAGGTGGAATGCGATTCCTAAAGGTGGAACACTGAGCAAACCCTAGAGTGTGGGCACCGGAGAGAGCAACGAGGTCTTCTTCATCCAAACCTTGCTTCTTAAAGTTGTCGATAAGTGCAGGTAAGTCCATCAATGGAGTTGGAATGTCATTATTGGCAGTGGTTCTACTTGCTGTAGTCGAATCCCTTCTTCCTAGTTCCACTTCCCATGTTGGTCCATGTAACTGTCTCAATGTAACAAAATACTTATCAGTTCAATTATACACTAAATTAACTTTAGCTTATATATAATGTTAGGGAAAAAAGGAGTAATACGCACAGCAACAACGGAGTCACGAGCTGCAACAGCCAAGATGTCCGCACAAGATACAACTGGACCTCCACATACTCTATCAACCTCCGATTTAATTCTATCGATCACCTCACATCCTCTAGCAGAATTGTTATTAGGACGAGCAGTCTTTTCACAGTCAATAGTAGCCGTTTGATCAAGAAGAATGGAAGCGTCACAACCCGACATTTATTACCAGAAATACATTAGTAACGACAACTCAAGCAATTACCAAAGTACCAAAAATTTAACTAGGTAGGAGAGAAAGAAATTAAACTGACATTAACGAAACAATCATGAAAAAGTAATCGTAGCAAAGAGGCACCCATTCGCCTCTCTTGCCTGACAAATCCGAAAAAGCGATACTAGCTAGACTAAACATGACTAACATATGAAGAAAGAGGAAGCTATAACTCGAAGCCATTTTTTTGTATATAGAGTCTACGAAGTTGTACACTTGTTTGTTGTGTTTATGATTTTGTGATTGTGAGACTAAAATGAAGGCTGTATTTATAGATTAAAACAATTATTACTGTTGACTTCAGTAACACGACAATAGTTGTAGGTTTAGTAACACTCACAAGAATGAGCCACACTTTTGACAATTTCTAGTTAAGAAAACAATTTTTAATTTTTTGGTACGTTGAATCAAATACATGCACGAAATGTTCAGACAAAGTAAATAGTATTGGTAATCAATTATTACAAATTTGAGTGGGTCGTCTGTCTTATAATTAAAAGACTATCAGTTTTGACTTGGCAAAATAAACTCTCCACAACCACCACCTGAAGTGAAAGCCTGACTGGATGAATTCTATCAAAATAAATAAATTACAATCAACTATAATATTTTTTTTATATTAAATCTATCACCTTACAACATTAAAAATAATTCCTATTCAAAAATATTTGGTTATAAATCGATTAATTAAGGGAAAAGGGTAAAAAATAACCCTCAACTTTGGTTTATTGTTTGACTATGCCCTTACCGTTAAAATGAAGTTATTTTTACCCTTGCCGTTACTAATTTCACCATTTTTACCCCTCAATTGGATGGAAAACCCAAATCAACTAAAATTACCCAATTTCAATTAAATAACCCAATTTTTTCTCTTTTTAATCCAAATCCGACCCATTTATATCAAATTAAAACCCCAAATCAAGCTCCGGCAATCCTCATTCATTTTCTCCGTTTTCCGGCGAAACACCACCAAAACAACCTCCAAACGACCACCTGAAACCACCACTCAAAATCCCCAAAAACCAGAAATGACATCAAGCAGAAAACATTAACAACAAACCCATTTTCCTCTACTCTCCGGTGACGACAACAAGATCTTTCTTCTCCATTTCCGACCAGTTCCAAACTGGAACAACATTAAGCAAACCACCCACCGTCGAAATCATTCAAACAGCCATGAAATCGACCTGAAACAGCTCTCAAACACCACCCTCTCCACGCCAAAATCCAGTGGTAAAACCACACTTCAGCCCACCAGAATCCAGACCTCCATCACCCAAGCTAAAACAACCAGCAAATGACCACCAGACCACCAGTTCTCCGACCTCCAAACAACCAACCAACAAAACTTCGATCAAAACCCCATCGGAAAACAACTGAAGCACCGCTAACATATCAAACCAACAACACAATTGGGCGAGAATCACCGGCTCGAAAACAACAGCCATAACTTCATATTTGGCTAGGCTCAACAAGCAAGCAATATCATAGTTTCAGATCTGCCCGCAGGAAAGCAAAATCCGATGATTGAATGAGCTCCAAGCTCCGACCACACTAGTGTGCTAAATCTCTCTAATCTTCTTCATATACTTCCTCTATTGATTGTGGTCATGGAGGAAACCCACTGTCAATCATGGATGGGATTTTCTTTGCAGTCAGGGATGATATTGATTGCTATTTTCATTCGAGTATTTGTTTAACTTCATATTTCCTCCGTAAATATTTCTGTCATTTTTAGCTGAACATTTTTCCCTGTTAAAAAGTACAGGTGGTTCTAAATGGTTTCATGAGGTTTGCCAGGTGAAGGCAGATGAGGTTTCTGTGTCAAAATTACGAAATAGTGGTGCAATTTTAGTAGGAAGGACAAATATGCATGAGTTTAACTACAGAACATTTGCTGTCAATTTTAGTAGTATGTGTTTCAATGGAAGAAAGAGATGGAGAAGATTAGAGAGATGGCTTTAGGGTTCTAATTTGATATAAATGGGTCGGGTTCAGATTAAAAGAGAAAATCGGGTCATTTACTTGAAATTGGGTAATTTTGGTTGATTTGGATTTTTCATCCAATTGAGGGCAAAGGGTCAAAATTACCCCTCAACTTTGGACGGGTCGGGCATTGGGTTTAAAATGGGGAATGGGTCTTTTTTTAAAATTTGGGTTAAATTGAGTCAATTTGGGGATTTCCGTCAATTGAGGGGTAAATTTGGTGAAATTAGTAACGGGAGGGGTAAAATTAACTTCATTTTAACGGCGAGGGTAAAGTCAAACAATAAATCAAAGTTGAGGGGTATTTTTGACCCTTTTCCCATTAATTAATTACGAAAATAAAAATAACGTACTCTTTTAATTTCTAAATTACCCGTTCGAGTAAATAAGAACTTAATATATTTTCAATACTAGCTATTTTCGATGGAGCGGTGATGGATAAGATTGCGTCACGTGTCCCTATTTAGTCTTCCGTTAGAGTGAAGGACATATATGTTCTAGTTTTTTGACGGCAGGAGCACCAATGCTCCAAAAATATGACTGAGGGTATCTGCATACCATTTACGATAGTTCTGGAGTATATTTGTCCTTTTTCCCTTAATAATATTATGAGCAACTACCAACTCCAAATTTCGAGAAAAAGTCAAAATATAAAAAGATGAATAGCAACTCAACTTGAACTATATCTAGAAAAAAATTCATATCACCGTACGACATGCAAGTAATTAAGTTATATATAATGATGGTAACCATTGGATAACATTGATCATAATTGATGAAGGTCTTTATTAGTTCATTAAAGAATAAAGTGGATACTTTCCTTTGGTCTAGTTTATTATTGGCTCATTCATTAATTATTATTTATATGGTACGTTAATTCAATATTAATCAATTAATGGCCCATGGTCATAACGTGTCTCATCGAAAAATCTTTTAAACAAAATATTGATGAAGAGAAGATATGAGACAAAGTAGATCAACAACTATGTTTGAATAATACGTTTATGTCTCATTTAATTTGTTTATACTGATTCTGTAGAATGAACTTTGTATTAATTGAACTTGGTTAGAATGTAGCAAAATTATCTCCTTTTGTCAAAATTATAGTATATAGTTTCATTAATTAGTACTTCTTTCATCCAGTATATATACCAAAAATAGATATTTACTTTTATTTGTTCAATTTTAAAAAATTTAAAAAAAAATTATCGCTTAATTTCTAATGTATTCTGCTTATTAACTATAATTATTTTTCAAAGCATTTCTCAAAGTATTTAACTTATGAGTATATTCAAAAAATGATAGTATAATAAAATTATCATTTTGTTTAATTGTTTGATTTGCTTCTTAAAGGA